TGCGTCTGAAAGTTTATTCGCTGCCAATAAACTATAAACAATCCGAATCACAGTCATGTTTTCTCTGATTCATAGATCTAGTATAAGAGTAAACTCATACTCAAACACTGCGTCTGATATATCTTATTTCGTTGGCGAGAAACTATAAACATTTTAAGTAACTGACGCTGAGATTCCAGGTGTAGTCGTGTTGAGGGTAGCTAAAATCGACTTAGTGCGGGTGGGTTAGTGAGCTTTGGTATTCGCCGAATGAAATGCGAATCTTTAACGACATCTGAACCCGAACCTCTTCCGAAATCGGCGGATCAGTAAACCGTGCCGTCGTTCTTTTCTTTTCACTAATGCAACTGGACAATAGGCATAACACTGATAGGGCAACAGCTAACCAGTCAGATATCGTCACTTTTCCCCAACAACGCGTACTCTTAGGCTGCATTGATAATGTATAGGGGGGGGTGAAATATTTAAATGACAAAAGAATTCTTAAGACCCCCCCTTGAAGTTCCCCCAAAAAATAACTATCCCCCTGGGCAATCTCTCATAGCTTCTTCTAAAAACGTTGCATGTTAGTATCAATTTAAATTAACCATGATGAATAAGAGTGTCGAAAGAGAAATACAATATAAGTTCTCAAAGCGGCGAAGAGAAATATTTACTGCATTCCTCAAGCATGTTAAGGCCTGGGATTTTGTTCAAAAGGGCAAAAATCACTTTTCACTGTAGATTCCTCATGTTTAGATGTAATTGAATGAGATTGCAAAAGCTATCCTTATTTCGGGTGCTTAACTTTTTGGATGGATAAATTTGCATAAAAGGTGGTCACGTGACCTTAAAAGAGGGAAAATGCTAAATTAAAAACTAGGTGACGGTTTTAGATTATTTGTGAGATTTCTTTAGCTTGTTGGAAAGTAGCGACAAAGATACAGATATTCACGTTTGGAATGGTCGACCAAAATGTTTACGGAATGAGAAAAATGGGCATAAAGTATATTTTGACAGGTCACATGTTTTGTAAAATCTCCTTAAGAGGCTGTGTCCCTAAGAATCAGCAGACCAAATTGCATGGGTTCTCAGATCTCTTTCAAACTTTATGTACAGAAAGCCTTTCCTACTGGTAGTATTAAAATGCATTTTATTTTGATTGTCGTCACAAATTCGCTAAGTTCAAGGGGGGGTCAAGTTTAGGGCAAAAAATAAGTTTTTGGACACCTCCTGGTAACGTAATTTGAATGAAATTTGAGGCTTTGTATCTCTTTTAAAAATGCACAAAAAATTAAATCCTTTTACATGCTGCTAGATACACATCTGAGGAATAACCTGACATATTAAAAGCTTCAAGAAGAGGTATTTTATTTGGAGAAAATGTACGCTACTTTTGCACTATAATTGACATTTCGTGACTTGCAAAATTATGACAAAAGATAAAAATTCCAATCTCAAAAGTGGATCGCTCTATAACTCTAATATTTTTATCGTGATACAAGTAAACATTGATCTTTCATAAAATGTAAAAACATTTTTTGGCCAGCATGTTTTAGGCATATTGTGGCCAAATCTCAGCATTTTCCGAGTTGTCAAATTGAAAATGAAAATCAAAAGTTGTTACGTCCCTCAAATTTCTACTCTATATTGACACAGAATTATGTTTAAACCTAAGATAAGATATTTTAAGGTATTTTTTTGAACACATTCCACAAGTGGAATCAGRAAAAAAAAAATCGTTCATTTGTGGTTGGTTTTGTAAGAAATTTGTATGTTGAAGTAGCCATGAATTAAGAGAAAACAATGCGAACGCTTATTTCAAATAATTGAAGACAAATTTCCACTTGTAAGATCAATAAATCAATAAAGATACATTGCTTTAGTTTTAATTGCATTGAATTTCCAGGAAAGAGCTGTAAATTTAGCAATAGAGAGCATAAATAAAACAAATTGAACAGACCTTTGATTGACCTTATTCACATCAGCTTTGCACGATCGGGAAAACAACGTGATTCTACAAGCAATGAACATGACAAG